AATGTGTAGTATTTATGAATTATAATGCAAGCAAATTAATGTCTGGTTTGCCTTATTATGTAAACCAAGACATCCCTAAAACAGTATTATTTATGATTTGTTTTCAAAAACATTTTATTTAGAGTTTCGTTACGATTGAAAACTTGAAGTCTTATTGAAAACGAGTTGATATTTCGAAACATAATATATTATGTTAATTAAATGCCATTAATGTTTTAATTAGTTATGGTAACTTTATAAATACTGCAGTATTACTTAATTCTGCAAAATTCACAGTCTTTTTTAGGATTGAGAAATTTTAAAATATGTTTTTACATTCATTTAAAATATGCATTCATTTGAGAAAATAAGATTTTCTCATAATATAATTATTATTTTTAAGATTAAACAAAAAATGCACACAAAGTAAAGACATATAATTAATACCTCGTCTTATGGTCTAAAGAACGCTCTCATATCATAAGTTACACAATAATTCATTTATAGACTAAAATTATTGCTCACTTGTTATTTAATAATAATTCTTGATAAAAATCAATCCAATTATAATCATATCAAGTGTGTCTTATGTACTATAAATTTTTAACATCAACTGTTTATAACACAAAAGGTTATAATCGTATGAATACTATTGGTTTGAAATATAGTAACATTATTTAATGAGAATATAATTTATTAAAATAATGAATGTGAGAATTCTCATAAACTAATGCACTTTTTAATGAATCAATGAATTGCTATACAATATGTTTTAAAAAGATAAACTAAATTATACCCAAATATACCTAATGTCTGGAAAAAATTTTCTTTTTATGAAAACAAAGTTTTAATTTCTATGAAGTTTTAATATTGTGTTTGCAAAGAAACAAAGTATAAATTATACAATCTTTTAAAAATATTATTTTTGGGAAAACAATATTGCTTAGTTTACTCATTAAAATGCATGATTTTTAAATGATATTCGTTAAAAATAATGAATAAAATAATTTTTATAAGAGTTTTTAGGATTTTATGCAAAAACCTATTGAGTAGGACTTTAAGGAAAGAAGAAATTCATTAGATTTTTCAATTACGAACATAAAAGGCAACATAAATCCATAAAATATCACTTCTCTGGCATTGTTTTCACTGTCTTTTATTATACATATTGTAAATATATTCAACACTTTTCGTACATAATAAGGAAAAGTGTGTCATATGTTTAATATTAGGAACTGTTTTAGGCTTAATGCAACTTTTCATAATGAAACGATTGAATATCTTACATTCACTATAATAAACATATCCCTAAAAAACATATCCCTCTAGTATTCGCTGTACAATTGATGTAGAGGTACAATGTATGGTAGAAGGCATATATTTTTGGTACGGGATATATTTTTTAGGGATATGTTTATTATAGTGTATGTTATGCGGTATAAGTTAAGTGAAAGTTATGCACAAAATTGGACAATCAGTTACGAAAGACTGCATTTCAAAACAATTATCTATCTGTTATAAACACCTCAAAATTAGATACTCTAATACACAGTCCAATACACAAATGCCATACTTTTCAGAATGTAATAATAATTTGAATTTATTTCAATTGTATTAAATCTTATTATGTTTTCCGGCAATAGATTTCATTTTGAAAGCATTTCAAACAAACAAAAGAGAGACTCAAAAGAAAAACAATTTAGAGTCGGGACGAGTGGACGAAGACTTCGCTTTTGATAATCCATACTTTGAAGACGAAGAAGGCGTTCAAAGAGCACAAACACTGACTAAATCAGACACTATTACTGCACAAAAAGGTATTTGTTATTCAATCTTACAGTTAATGCCAAACATAAATGCATTGAAACTAAAGGCCTTTCGAAATAATATAATAGAAATTAACGATAAATATTTTTGATTTCAAATCCAAGATTCTATTATTGATTATAATTAATGCAATGAATAATAATATCTTTGAATTCACAAATGATTACAATATCATTGATTTTAAATGAATTCTTGTTAATTGTTTAGAAAAAATGATTACATTCAATGAAACTCAAGACATACAGTATACAGTATATCAATCAAAATTTATATTCATTATGAAAAGTTATAGTTAATTAAACATCAAATAAAGACAACCCCAATATATAAATTGTATATAGATTTCAATCAATAGAAACAATTTAATTATAATATAACTCTTGAAATAAAGTTCAATGACTTTGAGTGAAGAGTCACTAATCGAAACGTTATCGGAGAGGAGGAAAGGCATGGGATGTTAGGGATGGCAGGGATGGCAGCGATGCCTTTAAGGCTTATTTTTCGCCAAATTAGTAATTTAGATGAGCTCTTCGTCTCTTCGCAACAAATATATATTATATTACATATATTTTAAGCATTTTTTAGTCCAAAAAAATATCGGTTCATTGCAAAAGCAATAGCATTAATAATGCATTAGAAATAAAACAGTTGACAGTAATAGAGTGAGAGTTTCCCGGATGCAAATTCATGCCTTATATTCCACTCTTTACCACAACAATAGCACAACTTTGTTATATTCTATTCAAATGCCATTTCAGTCAATACAAGTATATTTAACGAATAGTAATGTATTTTGTGATAAAATAGAAACCACTGAATATTATTTATTTAACTTCCAGTCCTTTATTTAGTAGTTAATGATCTCTTCTTGAGGTCAAATGCAATTTAATTAAAATGTGTTTTATTTGTCCTCCAATTTATACGATAGAGGAATCAAATGGCCTTTCATTTGCTTAACTCTTCGAAATACAGTTTTTTAATGAGATTATTGTCGATAAAAGCCATGTTTTTAATATACATAGCATTCAATCACAATTAATGATAAGTTTTGATATTATAACGATTTAATGCCATAAAAATTGCAAAAATGATGGGTTAGAGGATAATCATTATTATACCATTTATTTCTTTACTAATCCCTTGTCAAAAATAGTGTCAGCATTTAGTCCTATACACTGCTATACTCTGTTATTATAATAATATTATTATGTTTGGTACATAACTGTATACATAAGGCATAAATATTGATATTTTTACATGTAACAAATTATTAGAATTCCTGTGATTTTTTTTTTAAATAAGCGTAAATAACAAAATTAATATTTTTAAATAATACTAATTAATGCATATTATAAAGGCTTCAGTAGTAATTAGTAGTGATAATGTTTTAATGAGAATTTTTTATATCAATAGATAAAGAAATAAAGAAAGAAAAATGTTTTGATGCCATCAATAATAAGACTAATTCACAGGTTTGTTATTTCGGTATTTATCATATGATAAATAAGTAATTAATTAATTATAAAAATCTTAGAGAATATTAAGAGAAAAGGAGAACAACTTAATTAACAACCGATTTGTGAAGAGTCTCCCACTTTCTGCTGTGTTTAATAACATCCATATATTGAACAAGAAATGCAAACCTGAAAACTACTCTTTCGACGACACGTACATAAAAAAGGTATTTATTGTGGATTTGGTGTCGAAACTTGGATAAGTGATGATTTTATTGCATAACAATTACTTAACTGCTGTATAACTATACAGAAAGCCGAACGATTAGAAGTGGAACTCATTGGACATGATTTCACGGGATTGGGCTTTAATTTATGCGGGAATATGAGAGACGGGATATTTGTGAAGGATGTGCTCAATAGGGGTCCCGCCAATGAGTCGGGAATTGTTAAAACAGGTCTGTTTTCAAAGAAAGTTATATTTATTATTTATCTTAATGTTTGCTAATAATGTGTGAATAATAGGCGATAAAATAATTAGCGTTTGTGTGTCTTTCGAGTCGATGGTGTTTGAAGACGCGGTCGCTATCCTTAGCTATGCCTCGCCTTATAATGTGAAGATAGAGCTCGAAAAGGGCTCTCATTATCCCACAGTTGAGAGAAATGCAAACTTTCTCAATATAAATAAAAATCTCACCACAAATACTGATAAGCCATTACTTCATCCCTTATATCGAAGCCATTCAGTCGACGATTTGACACAAATTACAAAAGAGACGTCTCTATCAGAGAAGAGCACCACTTCTGATGCACATAATGTCATACAAAGAATTAAAACACAAATTCTAAACAGAATTAATATAAAACATTCAGTCGTCGATCAAAATGCAAAGAAAACTCCAGACACTGACGAACAGTATTTGCAAAAAAGTAGTGCTGAAGTACAAGAAGTGGTGATAGAAATACCTCCAATTGAGGACAGTATTGTTACCGCCGATCAAATAGATTCCGTTGCAAACGAAAAGAGTATTCAATCTATTGATTGTAAAAATGAGTCCAAAGTCGAGGATAAGAGGGACTCTTTGACTGCGACTGAAACTCAAACGATTAAAAAACAAGTGATTCCCGCAAAACGAAAGGGAAAAGCACCGCAACCGCCCACTGAGACACCCCCGCAGACATCTTCTGTAGATTTGTCACTTATTTCAAGTAATTCTGTCGTCGAGACCATTGAAACAACAGCTCAGATCCATAATGAAGATGCTGTCAAAGAAACGCCAATAATTGAATTAAATTGCGAAGAAGTTATTGTCGAGAGAATACTGAAAGTGCCTGAAGAGGAAGTAAAGAATTTAGTAACGATGGATAATCACTCAAACAGTTCCATAGAGTCCATCAATATTGATGAAAATATATGTTCAAAAGATGTAATATTAGTGCCATTGGAGTCAAGTTCTCCCCAAAGAGTTCAGAGCCCAACCGGGAAACCAAAATCTTCGTCAATGAGTGACTTAACCAATAATAACGACAAATTACAGTCAATTCTGTTAGAGAGAGCCGTTTCGCTGGATATGAAAGGACAGAGTCTTCCCGAAGAAAATCTCAATAATATTCACACAAAGAATGTGTTGATTCTGAATAACGAAAGCGTGGATTCGATGC